TGTCTTTAAACATTATGTAATATTATTTTATGCACTGTCATCATTTTTCAAATATTGAGACTTTCATAATGTGAATTTGAACTCTCATGGTCCTGAAACTGTAATCTTATTGAAGGGGTGGATTGAGACCATCTTCTGGGTCTTCCGGAAGACAGTCAGGTTATTAAGTTTATATTGACTGGTATCTATTTTTTTCTGTTGGAAGACCATCAAAATGGAGGATGGATCAACATAGATACTTTGTAATACTGTCAGAAAATATCTCTGGGTCTGCTCCTGTTATTGACCATGTTACCTGTTGTGCAAGATTAAAATTCAGTGTTGACTGACAGTGCTATTATAAGCATTATTTATTATTGCATCAAAATTGACAAAATGACCTTTTTTGCATCTTTATTTTCTGTTTTTTGTCTGTACATTTGACAGCTTTGCTGCCTTGTTTCTCCTAGCCTTTCTATGAAAATTCAATGTTTTATTCAATGGTTGCATAAAAATAGAATCTAAATCAGCACAGATCAACTCTCATCAGTTGAGTAGTAAATGTGACTTGTCAACTTAAGGAAAAATATATATATTTTTCTTTTGAGATTTCTCACAAAACATGTTCTCTCTGATCTCCTTGCAGGTATTTGAACGTATGATGAGAAACTTAATCAATATTGGGCGTCAGGTTTTGGGTCATGGTGGAGACAGCCTTCTCATGTTACGCACAGCACTGGAACTGTTTCTTATCCTCCGCCCTGATGACCTAGAAATGACCTTGCTACTGTCCAGGGTATATCTGAATATTGGCATAAATTTGTCAGATGTAAGTAAAACATTGAAAAGTTTTCTATATTTTTGTGACACATTGCCTCAGATTTGAGGACATAAGAAACAGGATCTTTGAATGTGTATTTGTATAATTTGTGTGAAATGATTTTACTTCATTAAAAATTTGCCTGATAACTTCATTTTACTATTTATAATCTGTTTAAACATAAAGCGCAACTTTAGAAAGTTGCGTTTTTTGCACCACCACCACCATCTCTGTGCAAACCTTGAGTAAAGCAATCACCACATTGAGGTGTGGGTGGGTTACAGATGGGAGATTGTTATCAAGCAGTTGCTTCATAAAGTTAGTCCCAACTTGATTTAAATCAAAGCTGATGAGAAAAGGATAAGAAAAACTTGTATGCAGCATGGTGATTTTTCCAATGTTTCAGGTTGTTGACATGTTAAAAAGGCTAGCTACTTCAGTGGGTCCCCAGCAAAGCAGTCTTATTACATACCTGATTATGTTAGCAGAAGAAAGACAGAACTCAGAACCCCAGGAGAAGGTATATTGATTTTTTTTCTTAGATGAAAAGAATTCTCTTCAGTTCATAAATACCCCCTCCTTTCAGGTATGCCAAACTTATATAAATCTTACCATTAATAAATTCAGAAAATGTTTGGGGGTCATCTTTGTACATGTATAATTTACATTCATTCTAGACACATATTAACAGTTGATTTCTTTTCACCTTATCTTTGCAGGTTAAAATAAAGTTGAGATCAGAGTTTCCCAGGGTAAAACATGCTGTTGGCATGATAATGAAACACAAAAAGTAAGTTGTAAAGCAGATTGAAGGATTAAGTTAGATTTTGAAATACAAAGAATTCCAAGGACATTATTCACGCACACTGAAAACAGTGATTAAACAGAGTTATCCTTGTCAGAATCTTAATAACAAAAGTCACAATTACCATTTACATACATATTGAATTGAAAGTTAGTGTATGGATCTTTTCAAAATGAATGGTAATTAATGGATTGGCTATGCCGGGCATGGAGGCTTGGCTTCTTTTACCTTATAGCCAGGCTATAAGTCATCAATCTGTCAAATCTGCTCAGTGTGTCAAGGGCCTACTACTTTCGTTACTTAGACTCTGGTCAAGCAAAACTGTTTAATTATCATATAATAATAGTTTTTAACTGATAAAATAATTTTTAAATATTGGAAAAATCATGAACTTTCAAATGAAGTTTTACAAATTCTTTATGAAAATGGGCTCTTCCACATTTTATTTCAGATACCACTATACTTGTGTGATATATGGCTGGGATAACAAGTGTGAGGCAACCTTTGAGTGGATGAACCAGATGGGAGTGCACAAACTGCCTCTTGGCCCAGATCAGCCTTTCTACAATGTCTTAGTAGAGGATGGCTCCAACAGATATGCAGCACAAGGTAGGAATTTTGTTTTTGAAAAAGTTTTTTAAAAGCAAAGCATACACACTATAGATAATCCAATAGCTTACAGTGGAGTTTTATCTGAACACATAAATTACCACTTATCCTCCATGGTTGATATCTTAATCGGTGTTTTTTGTAAATTTTTTTTCTCTTGCATATCATAGAAAATCTTCTTACAACAGAGGAACCATGTAAAATTACACACCCAGAAGTTGGAAAGTATTTCTGCGACTTCAGAGATACATACTATTTACCTAACAAGGAGAAACTGGACCAGTATCCAGAAGATTTGCCAGTTCTTGACTCGTATGTTCGGGATACATATGGAAATTAAATTCTTACTACAACTTGTAAAGTATAAACAAATGCACATTGATAGCATCAAGAACATTTTAATGCAGTCCATAGAAAATATGCACAAGGCACTTTTGACAAATAACATCGATCATGAAATTTTGATTTCTTATATATCATCAGAGATGTCAGCATTTTTAATGTACTTGAAATGTTTGCATTTTAACAGACTATTAAAAATTTTTTGTGTTAAGTAGTAGTGTGTGTGCCATTGCAGTACTTGTGGTTATATGTGGGACAAGTTATAACAATATGAAATATCATTGAATTCTTGCTTGAATATAACATTTATTATAGAAAAATTGAGTTTGATATTTACAACTAAATGCCAAATAAATCACTTTTTATTTTACCATAACATTTAATAATATTTCTCTTACTTTTTTAAATAAAGGCTCCCTGAAACATCCCATAGCTATTTCAATACATTTATCATACAAAAATGCCCTTACACAATGTGCAAATTATTAGATTTCAGTCACAGTACTACAATAGTAATCTGATAACAGTTATCTATACCTGATGTACAGGAGAGCATTATGGAAGCAACTAATTTAAACATTATATAACATAAACATAAGATGCCAAGGTGTGAAAAGTGAAATAATACATCACATACAGGTGAAGATGTACCAATATATCGTGGTCTTTTAAGAATGCTAACAATTTTGGTGTTCTTGTTATTGAGACTTCAAACAACAAAGTTCTTTGACTGTTTGGAATTTCACCAAAGCAATGTTAATGGCTGTGATTTTCACCATTAAGCTCACTCATTACTTTCTGAAGGTCAGGCCTTCCTATAAGCAAGTATTGGTGTTTTTCAAGAACCTGAAAGATGCAATTTAAATATATGCGATTAAAAAACCCTAATTGCTTGTGTTTTGAAACAACATATCACCCCCTTTAAGTACCAGTGTTATAATAATGATAATAATAATGAAAATAAACTTTTGGAGGGTAAACATGTCAACAAGTTTACACTTATCTTCCACATGGCCCTCATAATAATAAGCCTTGTTAGAAAATCTATTTATAAATTTGCCACTTGACATGGTAATATTTGATTCTGGTAAGAATTTGATTTACATTATTATTGTTATTATTTAAAACTGTACCTTTCGTATGTTCTCTAGCTGCCTGTCATAGTGGAAAATGGCAGTTTGTGCTTCCTTGAGGTCCTTAGAATACTTCTTCATCTGCACAATAAGACAGAAAAGACTCTTAAGACAAACTGGTAAACATATCTGAAGTTTTTCAACTAACATATTTAAAACTTTTATATGAGTATTATGTATGAAAGTTCAAATTTTAAAATTAAATTCAAAGTTAATAGTAACTATATCATAAAGTGTAAATTATCAGATCTTTAAACTAAAAACTGATTTGGTTCATTACCTCCCTGTCTAGTTTAGACTGCAAAATGTCTACTTCTTCTCTCTTCTCCAGCAGCTTTTCATTCAGTTGGAGTTTCTAAAAGAAATTAAAATTCCATAGAAAATATTTATTGTGGCAGTAGAAAATAGAATATGACACATAGGAAACCATAAGACATGGTTAACAACACTTGACAAGACCTGCAGNTTATTGACCATTTTACCTGTTGTGCATGATTATAAAATTCAGTGTTGACTGATAGTGCTATTATAAGCATTATTTATTATTGCATCAAAATTAACAAAATGACCTTTTTTGCATCTTTATTTTCTGTTTTTTGTCTGTACATTTGACAGCTTTGCTGCCTTGTTTTTTTTTTACATCCCAGAGTATTTTTTTTTTTGAAAGAAATTAGAAACTGTGCCTTTTTATAGAGGTGATTAATTTGCTAAAGACTATGCAGAAACGAACCAGTGGTATTTTCTATGCTAATCATGCAATGCACATTCTATTTTGTTGACTTCATAAAATGTGGGTCTATGTGAGGAAACTTCTCCCATTATTTCTCCTAGCCTTTCTATGAAAATTAAATGTTTTATTCAGTGGTTGCATAAAAATAGAATCTAAATCAGCACAGATCAACTCTCATCAGTTGAGTAGTAAATGTGACTTGTCAACTTAAGGAAAAATATATATATTTTTCTTTTGAGATTTCTCACAAAACATGTTCTCTCTGATCTCCTTACAGGTATTTGAACGTATGATGAGAAACTTAATCAATATTGGGCGTCAGGTTTTGGGTCATGGTGGAGACAGCCTTCTCATGTTACGCACAGCACTGGAACTGTTTCTTATCCTCCGCCCTGATGACCTAGAAATGACCTTGCTACTGTCCAGGGTATATCTGAATATTGGCATAAATTTGTCAGATGTAAGTAAAACATTGAAAAGTTTTCTATATTTTTGTGACACATTGCCTCAGATTTGAGGACATAAGAAACAGGATCTTTGAATGTGTATTTGTATAATTTGTGTGAAATGATTTTACTTCGTTAAAAAAAGTTTGCCTGATAACTTCATTTTACTGTTTATAATCTGTTTAAACATAAAGCGCAACTTTAGAAAGTTGCATTTTTTGCACCACCACCACCACCAAACCTTAAGTAAAGCAATCACTGGTGTGGGTGGATTACAGATGGGAGATTGCAATCAAGCAATTGCTTAATAAAGTTGGTCCTAACTTGATTTAAATCAAAACTGATGAGAAAAGGATAAGAAAAACTTGTATGCAGCATGATGGTTTTTCCAATGTTTCAGGTTGTTGACATGTTAAAAAGGCTAGCTACTTCAGTGGGTCCCCAGCAAAGCAGTCTTATTACATACCTGATTATGTTAGCAGAAGAAAGACAGAACTCAGAACCCCAGGATAAGGTATATTGTTTTTTTTTTTACTTAGATGAAAAGATTTCTCTTATTTGTACAAGTTACTTTGCTGTTCACATTGTATAAATACCCCCTCCCCTCAGGTATGCCAAACTTATATATAAGTCTTACTATTAATAAATTCAGAAAATGTTTGGTCTTTGTACATGTAGAATTTACATTCATTCTAGACACATATTAACAGTTGATCTCTTCTCACCTTATCTTTGCAGGTTAAAATAAAGCTGAGATCAGAGTTCCCCAGGGTAAAACATGCTGTTGGCATGATAATGAAACACAAAAAGTAAGTTGTAAAGCAGATTGATGGATTAAGTTAGATTTTAAAATACAAACAATTCCAAGGACATGCAGTATTCACGCACACTGAAATTTGAAAACAGTGATTAAACAGAGTTATCCTTGTCAGAATCTAAATAACAAAAGTCACAATTACCATTCACATACATATTGAATTGAAAGTTAGGGTATGGATCTTTTCAAAATGAGTGGTAATTAATGTATTGGCTATGCCGGGCTTGGAGGCTTGGCTTCTTTTACCTTATAGCCAGGCTATAAGTCATCAATCTGTCAAATCTGCTCAGTGTGTCAAGAGCCTACTACTTTCGTTATTTAGACTCTGGTCAAGCAAAACTTTTATTATCATATAATAATAGTTTTTGACTGCTAAAGTAATTTTTTAAAAATATTGGAAAAATCATGAACTTTGAAGTGAAGTTTTACAAATTCTTAATGAAAAGGGGCTCTTCCACATTTTATTTCAGATACCACTATACTTGTGTGATATATGGCTGGGATAACAAGTGTGAGGCAACATTTGAGTGGATGAACCAGATGGGAGTGCACAAACTGCCTCTTGGCCCAGATCAGCCTTTCTACAATGTCTTAGTAGAGGATGGCTCCAACAGATATGCAGCACAAGGTAGGAATTTTGTTTTTGAAAAAGTTTTTTAAAAGCAAAGCATACACACTATAGATAATCCAATTGCTTACAGTGGAGTTTTATCTGAACACATAAATTACCACTTATCCTCCATGGTTGATATATTAATCGGTGTTTTTTGTAAATTTTTTTTCTCTTGCATATCATAGAAAATCTTCTTACAACTGAGGAACCATGTAAAATTACACACCCAGAAGTTGGAAAGTATTTCTGCGACTTCAGAGATACATACTATTTACCTAACAAGGAGAAACTGGACCAGTATCCAGAAGATTTGCCAGTTCTTGACTCGTATGTTCGGGATACATATGGAAATTAAATTCTTACTACAACTTGTAAAGTATAAACAAATGCACATTGATAGCATCAAGAACATTTTAATGCAGTCCATAGAAAATGTGCACAAGGCACTATTGACAAATAACATCGATCATGAAATTTTGATTTCTTATATATCATCAGAGATGTCAGCATTTTTAATGTACTTAAAATGTTTGCATTTTAACAGACTATTAAAATTTTTTGTGTTAAGTAGTAGTGTGTGTGCCATTGCAGTACTTGTGGTTATATATGGGACAAGTTATAACAATATGAAATATCATTGAATTCTTGCTTGAATATAACATTTATTATAGAAAAATTGAGTTTGATATTTACAACTAAATGCCAAGTAAATCACTTTTTATTTTACAATAACATTTAATAATATTTCTCTTACTTTTTTAAATAAAGACTCCCTGAAACATCCCGTAGCTATTTCAATACATTTATCATACAAAAACGCCCTCACACAATACGCAAATTATTAGATTTCAGTCACAGTACTACAATAGTAATCTGATAACAATTATCTATACCTGATGTACAGGAGAGCATTATGGAAGCAACTAATTTAAACATTATATAACATATACATAAGATGCCAAGGTGTGAAAAGTGAAATAATACATCATATACAGGTGAAGATGTACCTTGATCTTTTAAGAATGCTAACAATTTTGGTGTTCTTGTTATTAAGACTTCAAACAGCAAAGTTCTTTGACTGTTTGGAATTTCACCAAAGCAATGTTAATGGCTGTGATTTTCACCACTAAGCTCACTCATTACTTTCTGAAGGTCAGGTCTTCCTATCAGCAAGTATTGGTGTTTTTCAAGAACCTGAAAGATGCAATTTAAATATATGCAATTCAAATCCCCTAATTGCTTGTGTTTTAAAACAACATATCACCCCTTTAAGTACCAGTGTAATAATAATGATAATAATAAAAATAATAAACTTTTGTAGGGTAAACATGTCTACAAGTTTACACTTATCTTCCACATGGCCCTCATAATAATAAGCCTTGTTAGAAAATCTATTTATTAATTTGCCAATTGACATGGTAATATTTGATTCTGGTAAGAATTTCATTTACATTATTATTGTTATTACTTAAAACTACCTTTCGTATGTTCTCCAGCTGCCTGTCATAGTGGAAAATGGCAGTTTGTGCTTCCTTTAGGTCCTTAGAATACTTCTTCATCTGCACAATAAGACAGAAAAATCTCTTAAGACAAACTGGTAAACATATCTTTTCAACTAACATAAATATTTAAAACTTTTATATGAGTATTATGTATGAAAGTTCAAATTTAAAAATTGAATTCAAAGTTAATAGTAACTATATCATAAACTGTAAATTATCAGATCTTTAAACAAAAAACTGGTTTGGTTCATTACCTCCCTGTCTAGTTTAGACTGCAAAATGTCTACTTCTTCTCTCTTCTCCAGCAGCTTTTCATTCAGTTGGAGTTTCTAAAAGAAATTAACATTCCATACAAAATATTTTTGTGGCAGTGGAAAATAGAATATGACACATAAGAAACCATAAGACATGGTTAACAACACTTGACAAGACCTGCAGTATTTCTTAGAACAATCTTTATGACGCCCTTACTACCAAAAAAAAAGAGAATCTTTCCACAACTGGAAACTATACTTTATTTCACATCAGTGACTCAAGCACTAGTCCACCGGCTAGGACAAGGAGACTTACTTCCTTCTTCAACACATGGTTCTCCAGTATGTGCTTGCCCTCAGTGACCTCCAGGCCAAGTCCCTGTTTCAAGTCATCAATCCTGCTCAGACAGTCTTTCAACTGCTCCTGCAGTAATGTCCTTTCCAGTTCAACGCTCTTCACCTGTTTACTAAGTCGATCTATCTCTTTGGAATATTTCTGCATGAAAAAAGATGATCATGGTCTTAAATCAAAATATCTACAAAGTAAATATCTATGTGATATCTATTTAAATAAAACTAAATATTAACATTTCCAATAGCCAATTCTTTACATCAGAGACCTTGATCAAATAGACTACTATAAAACTATTTCTTTTGATAAAATTAATTGAATTTGTAACCAGGTAGAAATGATCCCAAATATTCTTATATACAAAACATTCACACACCTGAATTTTCTCCTTCTGGTCTGCAATGCTGCTGAACTGCTCTGCCATCTCACAGATCCTCCTCTCAGCCTTGTCCAGACTTTCCTGGAGATTCTTCACTTCTCCCACCTTGAACTCCAACCTTACTTGAAGTTTACGGCTTTTGATTTCTGTGCTTTTCAGGTCGTCTTTAAGTCCAACCAAGTTTTTGTCAAACATGGACTGATTCTCGGCAATTTTTCCCTTCAAGTAGTCGCTGTAATTTAAAGAAAGCACAACTTTGGAATATTTTGAGAATTACTGAACAAAATGCCATAGTTTTTAGAGAGATTATCCGTAACATCCTTATAATTCAAGGCTAAAGCAGATTTGAACTCATTTTATAAGATCCTTTTTGTTGGACATGTATGCAGACTTTACAATTTTAAGCTGAGTCACCCCATAGAAAAATCCATAGCAAACTGACATATAAAATCTTCATGAATTAAACATCAAATGTAATGGGCCCCTTTTAATCTTACAAATTAACTGATTTAATTTAAATTCTTACTTTTCTTTCTCAAGTTCTTTGATTGAAGAGAAAGTGATCCTGTGTAGCAGCTGCACCAAACTCACAATCTGCTCCATGAATGCAGCAGCTCTACTGATCCGCTGTGTGAGTGATTCCTCCTCACTCTCTTCCTCCTCCTCCTCTGCCTTGGTCTCTTCATTCGGTACTGACTTGGGAACTTGGCCCTGGCAAGGTTGAACCCTCTGGAATGCACTTCCTTTTACAGTTTTATTATCTGTTTCTCCCATGTCACTCTCTGGGGTTAGCAAATGCACTTTTTCTGTGCTTGTTTTGGCTACTGTACTGTCAGGGAAATCAAGTCCTTTTCTTTGGTGGCCTGCTGTATCAGGTGCATCATTTGTTACAAGTTTACCTGGATGGATTACACTGTTCAACTGTTTGCCAGATTTCTCTGAATCACTGGCACTCGGATTATTCTCACAGTTTTCTTCCAGTATAAAAGTACTGGCCTCTGCAGGATTTGGTTCCTCTTGGTTCTCCTCCTCTTTGGAAGATGCTGACGAGGTGTCCGTTGCCTTCCTAACAGCACTCAGGATGGAGGAGACCAGAGAATGAGAGACCACAGTGGAACTCAACAAGGGCGGAGACAGCACGTGCATTGACACATCACCATCACTGCTGGAAGGGGAATCTTTACATGATTCCAGATTTGGAGGTAGACGTGAAGCAGCCTGTTGGTATTCTGGTGTCTCATTTTCCACTCCCTGGGCATATCAAATAAATTATATATATATATATATATATATATATATATATATATATATATATATAGGCTAAATTTTAACTGACTTTATACTACATTAGAACATTTCTTTAGGGTTCCTTGAAGCAAAACAGATTCAGGCTTTATGAAGTCTACTTGTACTAAAGAGAGCTACCACTAAATTTCAAACTGTCCATCAAGGAAAACATCAGTGGAGTCCATGTTACCTGTAGCTTAGCTGCCTTTTCCTCCAGTACCTCCACCAGGAGTCTCATCCTCTCACACAGCCCATCCACTGCCAGCATGGAGTCACTGATCTCTGTATCCTGGGTCATCAACATCAGGTGGGCATTGGCCTTGGTGTTGTCCAACTCCTCCTGCAACAGCTGGACACCCTGGCTGAAATGACAATGGAAAAAAGTAAATTATTAAAATAAATAAATAATAATAATAATAATAATAATAATAATAATAATAATACATCAATTAATTGATTAAATGAGCAACATGGAAATGGCATTCTAGCCAGAGTTAACTAACCTTTATGGAAGTTTTTTCTATGTCTAGGGTTTAAACTTTAAATTCAATTTCAAAAGTTCAATTCTATGACACATTGGGTTATCAATGTTCAGATCTTAACCTCATGTTCTGAATGGTGTTCTCCATCTGTAAACAGACTACTGTCTTTTCCTGCACCTCCGTCCTACACCTAGACAGTTCCAGGTTAGTGACAGAGAGTCTCTCTCCTGACTCTCTTAGGGTATCAGTAAGACCCCTTCTCTCTTCTTCCAGGAACTCATACATCTCCTTGGATTGTGTCTGAGTCATCTGAATGTAAAGGGAAGGTAGAATTAAGTGCAAGGTCTTTATACTTGTTTGATCTGAAGGTCCTAAGGATACTGTGGTGCAATGTATTGCATAAACATAGCCAGTTTGGTGGATGAATTCAATCAGGGGCACTGAACAAGAACTACATTCAGATTCTGTTGAATGAATTGTTGGTGATTCGGACTGACCACTTTTCAATACAAAGAGGGTTTAATCTAAAGCAGCGTAGCAATATATAACAGTATGTAAACATATGCTCTACCCCCCGAA